CGTGCTGCTTTTTTGCTTTGGCGTCATCTTCAGTCAGATCAATAGCTACTGCCAAATCGTGTGCTCGCAAGTCAACATCGGCTATTGGATCACGGTGGGCAACTGCCTCAACTCACCGCTTGGACTCCAACCTCTTCCTTCTCAAACCCGTATCCCCTGGCAAGTTCCCTGCTGTTAAAGCGAGCTTTAGGCTGGACTCCCCGAGTGCCACAAACGCAGCCTCAGCGATTATCGCCATAGGGCGATGCATTGCTGCCCCTGTCAAGATGGATGGGGATGGCGTCGTTCGAAACGACTTGGCATAAGTATTCTCACTCAGTGCATTTTGCGCTGTCACAAAGTTGGACGCCAACTTCAGCTCAGGACCATTCATCAATGACACAGACCCTGCTGTAGATATGTTTAGCCAGTCACGCAACGCATGGCAAGCCGTCGAAGACCCGGCAATGATCCCCTTTGCAATCTCAACGGCCCCATGGTCGGCTTTGCAGTTTTTATCAGCTTTCCTTATGGTCAGCAGAAAGACAAATTCCCTGATATGCCAGCATGTCGGATGAGCTTGGTAAGAGTTTCAAGCGTTTGCCAAACCGAGCGTAGCCAGGATCCACAAAGCCACGAGGAAAGATGCGCACCTCATCATTCGGATGAAACAATCCTGTTTGAGCTGCAAGCTGCAACAAGTTAGTTTGCAGTGACATGACATAAAAGCCGTACTGCCCGCAAAATAAAGGCCCAGAGTGATGGCTAATGCGTCCACTCCCATCGGCGACACCCAGCAAGAATACACCTCCTTGATGGACCTGATTGACAAAGAGGTCATTTAAGACATCCTCTTCCTCGTCCATTGTCGAGAGTGTGGCAATTCTACTTTCCAATTCTCCATTCCAATGGGCCTCTGGATACTGAGAGGCACACAATTTCTTCAAGATCTTAGCCACGTAGTGAATGCAGCACATGAACTGATCAATCCGGACGGCCGAACATCATCAGCAACTTCATCGATGTGGTTTACGATGATGGTCCCCGTCATGGCGGAGAATAGCTCACTCTGACTTCCATTCGTTCGCAGCACTAGCGAGTCCAACCAAATGCATCGCCATTCTCGACTTTCACGCTATCCGGGTGGTTCAAAACCAAACGAATTGAAGAAGGCTTGATTAGGCTTGATTCATGTATTTTACAGGATCAGCCCAACTACCATAGACTAACTCTGTACTTCTGCTAAGCTTCTTACTCTACGCTTGAGAGTCACGCTACGGGGTCCGTAGGGATGAGGTGAATTTCAACAATTCACTTGAGCATACTTGAGCCAAAATGGCTACGGGAAAACAACCGTTTGACGTCCGAAAGTGGGTGGCTCGCCACCAACCCCGAAATCACAGAACATGACCCACGCCCAGGTGGTCAGCGAACTTACTAGCCATGGGCTTGCAGGCAGTTGATTTCTGGATTGACGTGTCCCTCATCTTCCTCTCCTCCACCCATCTATCCACTCCTCAAAAACATCCAAATACCATCCAATACCATCTCTCTGCCGAAGCGTGGCTCGTTCTGCGTGGCTCCATCCTCGCGTTCCGAGAACAGGGTTCCCCGGCGGCGGTGGCGCGTGGCAGGACGTTTGGAGATGGGCTTCAAAGGCTTCTTCGAAACCTCAGAGGCCAAGCCCGCCCTTCCACGCGCCCAGACGCAGAGGCACCCGGCGTCCATGGGACTCCGAGAAAAGGCCAGGGGTGGTTGAAAAGGGGTCAAATCATAGGCATGGGTGAAGAACAGTGTGGTGGGCCCTGGAAGCGTGGACCCGATGGACTCCTGGAACTCCTGGAACTGTGGTGCTGAGCCCTGACTTGGAGGAAATAGTGTGGACCCTGAAGAATCTGGGCACCTGCAAGGGCACATGGACCGATCGATGGCATCAATCCGGATCAATGATGGACCGATCGTTTCAGGCCCCGAACTGGTGCGCGGAGAGAACGGCATGACAATCCATGCCCATTCAATAAAGATCCACCTGAACAAATCCGCCGCCAACATGTCTCAATCCATCCCAACAACAGCTTCGAGTTCCATCCATCCTGTATACCTGGAACCCAGATATGACCCCTGCTTTGATAGGAAGTTTGGCCATATTTTGGGATATTTTGGTGGTCCGAGGTCACAAACAGGATCTATAGGTATATCGCTGGGAGTTTGGGTTTCCAGCCAGTGGGTTGGGACCATGTTGGACCCCCCACGTCTGATACATGAGCCCCCATGTGTGATTCGACGTGAATGCGCAAGAGCTTTGCGCGCACTATACAAGAGATCCACATTACTACCCAGACGCGACCCGGGACCCGAATCCTTTTGAAGGGGTCGGACCCAAATCCGCACTGGTCAGGGGTCTGGGGTTTCTCACCAATCCCGGTTTTGAGGGACCGTATTTTCCAGGACTCTCCAGCTGGGGTGTCCAAGTCCACCACGCGACGACTGGAAGGTCTATCCATGGACAAATTTTCTGCCCAACGTTTCTCCAACGTCGATCCATTCAACTCCAATTCTGATCCGTTTGAACCGTTGAAACACAACATCTGCCGCCCTCTGACATACTACGCAATCATCCAAATGTGAGTGAAACACACCAGGGGGCAAAAACACTCAATCATCGGTGCCCCTCCTAATTGGAGGGTTCTGGTCCAGTGATCGTATCACATGAAGATCACTTCGACGCGAGCGAAACGATCCGAATACCTCCTCCCCACCTTCCCACAAGGGTTCCAAATACCATGGCTTAAGGTGTCAGGAGGGTACTATTAAGTAATACAAAGAGAGGTATCGGACCCAGGTCGACCTCAGACACCCATGTCTGGGATTGTCGAACAGTTGGGTTCTGACCCACCTCTGGTCCCAGAGAATGGTTATGACTGGTACAATGACTGGTACAAAGTACCAGCACCCGACTGAAACCAGGTCACCAATTGAGACCAGTTCGGGCCCAACAAGCCTGGAACGAGGAGATATGTAGAGTCGGGTGCTGGTATGGTTCTTGTGTCTGGTACAATGACTGGTTGTTTTTGTTCGTCCCAGACACAATGAAGGCCCGGCCCGTCAGGCTCCTGGCGAGATCCGAGGCAGGATCGCTGGTGGGCGGAGATGCTTTTTGTGTGCTTCATTTGGTTGATGATATGGTATGGTAGCCAAGGTTCATGCTTTTGGGTCTTTTGGTATTGATGCTAAATTAATAATAAGCACCTGCATCTTGGCGCATGCGTTCGAGGATAGAAGGTGTTGCTTGGTCATCCGTGGACCACACAGCAATCCAGCAAATCGGAAGAAGTCGAAGCCTCTGGGTGTCCAGTCATGAGCTGCCCACACCTGTTCTATAAAAGCAAAAAGGAACATCTGCCCCCAGGTGGACTGCAATGGATGTATCCTTGTAGCACCAAAGGTAGAGGGATAATGCACGTTATAGTGACTAGTGATATCCTCACCAAAACACTGCATGCATGACAATCTACTTTGGGGTGGTTCATTTCAGGGGTCAATGTAGGTAAGTACCCCAGACACTCCAAGTATTACAATGTATAGAATACAACTTACTACCTAATCTTACCTACACTGACCCCTGAAATCAACCGCGTCCTTCCGGGACTATGCTTCTCACCCATAGCAGAGATTCTCACATTGCATGGAGGTCAAAAAATGCCAAGTGAGTCACCTAAAGGTCTTCAATGCATTTGCACGCCCCAAAACCATCACACGACTGCGCGCTCCCGCGCCACCTCGCGCTGCTCGCGACGTGCGTCTCCTGCTGTCGGGGGGCAGCGAGGTCTGTTGCGAGGTGCCCGGGTCTAAAGCCCAACCTCGGTGCGACGAACGGAGACAAGCTGTCGGCCGGTGCTTGAGGCGAGTGAGGACGGCTTTTCCACTAAAATGATGAAGACATCGCTATTTATATACCAGGACCCCCAGTCGGGGTGGTATTTTGTTCCACCCCAACTCCAGCTCAGGGGCTATAAGTAGACACCCTGACAGGAGGGTCCTGGTATCTGTGCGCGAAAATTCATTTCACGTGGTGGGTGATCTCATTCGTTGATCCAACGTGGGTGAGGTTGGGGACAAGTCCGGCAGCCACAGGCTGCGGCCACACGACGTTTGTCGATGATAAAGAGATACTGTTCCGTTTCCCCATGATCATTATTGATGTGTTCAATGCACATTTAAGATTAAGTTACATCATTACATCTTTCCGTATGGTTCTAATGATTGGCGTTCCATGATGTTCCATGGTGTTCCATAGTTGATGAGAAGACTCTGCGTCCTCCACTCACCACAAAGCCCTCCGCTCCTTCGCGCACCCTTTCAGCACCTTCGCGGAACACCGTCCACAGCCAAGCCGTGCACGTGGCGCATGCTCGGCACCCGGACGGGGCAACGGGGGCGTCGAGGGGGCACTATAGGACTCCGGCCCCATCTTAGGGCCGAACAGCTTGGGACCAACGCACGAACGAGGAAAGTCGAGTCAAGCTTTCGATGCGTGATGTGACCCTGATGTTATCGCACATGGCGACTCTATGGTGCCCCAACGGAACGGCGAATGGGAATTCTTGATGGAAAGAAAAGGGGATTGAATTCCTATTACTGCCATATATAGCCATACATAGCCATACCTGGATCTTCTAACTATGCCAAATGTCTGCCTTTGGGCTGCTTGCTTTAGATGAAAAGGCAGACATTTGTCTCAGTTGGAAGATCCAGGTATGTCATGTTGTCATAAAATATGAGGCATGATTCGATGAGTATGATTCATTTCAGGCATCCATAGAACCATCTCATGCCATAGATTCTCCTCCCAAATCGGGAAAGTCGCCAGCACCGCCCAGTTCGGTGTTGACATTTTCCAGATCTCAGGTGCAACACCAGTATGCAAACTGCCCAAGTTGGTCTGAGGATTCTCCCTTTCTAAACAACAGTAGCTCATGTAGATGAACTCTTGAGTCATATTCACCTGTCATATTGGGCTGTGGGGCTGTGGGGAGCTGGAACCAGGAGACCAAGTGGTTGACCTCCCGTCATGGACGACCAGTCGGACTCGTGGCCCGGTGGACTGGTTAGGGCCCCAAATGCCATGACTCATCCCATTCTCGCCACCAACACCTCAGCCAGGGAGCATCTCAAAAGCCTGGAGAGGGAGGCAAATGGTTTTGTTATGGCCATCCTTCACTTGCTCAGGCCATCTTGATCTTCCTCCTCTCGTTTTTGGCCCGACTCCAACAACCGGCCTGAGATGCCCTGTTGGAAAGAAAAACAGCACGAAGATGTTCAACAGAAACGCTGTAATCACTCAGGCTCGACCAGTGGAGAGGCACCACTTTGCGGAATAGAATGAAGGAAGTTCCATGATTGATGCTAAGCTCCTTTACTTCAAGTGCCTGAGATGCCCTACCTGCCTCGAATCTGGAATTTCCAAGGGAGTCTCTCCTCCCAAAATCTAGAACTTCTTTGCTGCGGATGACACAGCGCCGGCCCAAACTCGACCTCGCGCGCCACGGCATCGGGCGCGGGTGGCACCCCTTGCTGGGCGGCTCGGGGCCGCCCGGCGAGGCGTTGTGCGCCCAGACCTGGCGGTACCGTCAGCGACTCGGAAGCCCAGTGCAGGCAGCAGCTTCGATTCGATTCGGCATGCGAACGGTACGGTGACCTCTTCCGATCCGTTTTCGTACCGAACCGGTACGGTGATGTGTTGGATCCGGTGCCAGCTGGCGCCGGGGGTCCACGGTATCTTCGATTCTTCAGGACACAATTTTGGGGCCTCACATGAGTTGTGGGGCCCCACCCCAGTGCAGCTGGCGCCTTGGCAACCCTATAGGATGCTTGTTTGTTGTTGTTGTTGTTGTTGTTGTTGTTGTGGTTGTTGTTGTTGTTGTTTGTTGTTTGTTGTTTGTTGTTTGTTGTTGTTTGTTGTTGTTTGTTGTTGCTTGTTGTTGTTTGTTGTTGTTTGTTGTTGTTTGTTGTTGTTGTTTGTTGTTGTTTGTTGTTGTTTGTTGTTGTTTGTTGTTGTTTGTTGTTGTTTGTTGTTGTTTGTTGTTGTTGTTGTTGGTGGTGGTGGTGGTGGTGGTGTTTGTGGTGTGTGTTGTGTTTGTTGTGTTTGTTGTGTTTGTTGTTGTTGGTGGTGGTGTTGTTGTTTGTTGTTGTTTGATGTTGATTGTTGTTGATTGCTGTTGTTTGTTGTT